CGTGTGGCAGGAAGAGGGTTAAGAGGTGTAGATTAATCGATGACTATTATCGCGTTGGTGCGCGCAGGAATACACTTAACAGGTATATCTCGTCGGATTTGTGTGTCGTATTTTTTTCCACAAAGATTTTTCTACAAAGACAGTACAGTAAGTCTATTTTTTTCTGTGGCTAAACTAGTACACACTTTTGGAACTTAAAATGAGGTAGATATATATTTGTGGATATTTGAGAAAGAGAATTCTAGTACAGGAATAAAAAAAAACAGACCTAGTTAAACGGAAGAGGTCGCATTGTCAACGTCGTTGAAACGACACGATGACGTAATGGATTATTGATTATGTTCTTGACACGTGTGAGAGCACGTTGTTTGGGAACGTGACGCTGATTCAGGATTTTTCGCAGATTCGTCGGCGGATAACAAGCCGGTCGTGGTGAAATCGGCCCGCGGGAGCGATCGGCATTGCTTTCCGGAATGGAAGAAGCCAATTAAAGAGGGAGGAGGGGAGGGGGGAGAGGGGGCGATCACGCGTAACGGTATAATTAAAGGGAAGAGAGGCAATCGAGAAAGAAAGCGCCGATGAATAAACCGTATCTCCTCATCTCTGCGCGGCTCTGGGGTTCTAACGAGCGGCGGGATTTTTCTTTTTTTTTTCCTTCTTTCGTAAATGGAGGCTGTTTATCGTCGCGGTAAAACGCCAATTACGGACGATGGACCTGCAATCACGCCGTTCATTTAACGCTAAACGCCTCTGTTGATCGCGATCGCACGTTCGGCATCAAACGAGATCGTCGCGACACAACATCTGCAGCTGCGCTTTGAACGATTTGGAGGAAGAAGGATGGATATAGAGAGTGACTTCGATTCTGATTATCTTAATCTCTGGTTAACTTATTAAGTATAATACCTGTAATATGTCTATCAAGTAATATTTATTTCGTTAATATTACAGAATTAGTAGTTTGTTATTATATTATTTAACATATGGGAAAGATAAAATTAAGGACAAATTATTAATTGCGAATTTTTGTTCTGAGCAATCCTTAAATTAATTGGAATTTGATTGGAGTCATCCAAAGACTTGGTGTATATTTTTACGAATGCACTTTTGTTTATAGGCCAATTTGAACTAAGAATTTTTATTTTGATTTATATAATAATTTATTAAAAATTGCATTGAAATTTATAAATAAAAATGAAATATAAATTATAATTATAATTATTAATGATAGTTAATAATTTTTTATAGTTAATAATAATAGTTTTTTTATAGTTAATAATGATTTTTTATTATTATTGATGTTGCAGATTTTTTTTAAATTTTAATGCAATATTTTGAGACAGTTGTTTTATTTAAACTGATATGCTAATTTTCATCATTATGTTGCGTCTTTTATATTATAACTATGATATTAGATTTTAGACGAGTGACATATTTTAGTTCTAAGCGAGACGGACATTTTTATCAGAATAAAAAGATTAATAAAATTTGAAATTTACACGACTAAATGCAATATGCCAAATAGAAACAATAATGAAGCTCTTTAAAAATCCTAAAATAATTTTTTTTTTTTAATAAGAAGGACGAAAGAAAAATGTATATTCTTTTTTACGGGAAGTTTTGAAAAAGAACTTTTCAACGATTTTTTTAAAATTCAATTTATTCGGTTTATTTAGAATGAAAAAAGAATTCTTTATGTATATTATTTTTAAAACGTTTGTTTTTTATGTACAGATTTTGAATTTATATAAACATAGTGTTTTGTATAATATATTGTCGAATATCTTTTATAATTGTGTTTTTTATGTTTCACATTTATATCAAGTTATCTGAAACGTTTTTGGATGATAAATTTGACACACTAATCCTGATCGATCCTTGAAAGAAATCGAGGATTCTCGGATATCGTCATTCGAGTGGCGGTCTTGTTACACGAGCGACTCGAAGGATACGGAGGATTAATTGGCGGGTCCGATCGCGCGCGCCGGTTTACCCCTCGCCCTGCTTTCCCTTCCCTTGCGCAGCGGTCCTTTCGAAGGGGTTGCACGCCACGTCGGATCTCCAACCCAGAGTGGCGAGAAAAGAAAAAAAAGAAGCGCGCAAGAGGAGGAACGAAAGAAAGGAGCTGCTAATTGACACGGGCGATTGCACGTAACGGTATAATTAGAGAAAAGAATACGGAGAGCCCAGGCCGGTGCACCGATGAAACCAATGAACCAGCCACCGCGGCGGCAAAGGGAGAGGGAAGAAACGAGAAAGGCAAAGAGAGAAAGACAGAGTAAGAATGTACGGCGAGCGGGGCAATTGAAGAGAGATGAACAGAAAGGCAGAAAAGCAGCAGGGGAGAGAAGCAGCCGGCGGGTTTCGTGCGACCATCAAGGGGTTCCCTCTCCGAGTGAACGAGCCGCGGGCCTACGATGAGAGAGAGAGAGAGAGGGGGGAGGGGGGGAGAGGGAGAGAGAGAGAGAAGCGCACTGGTTGAAGAGACCAAGAAGGGGTACGCGACGACCAGAGGGAGTGACAGAGATAGAGAGAACGAAGGGGGGAGGAGCCGGAGGGAGAGCGAAAAGAGAGGGACCATAAGCTCGTGGACCTTGCCGTGATCATTCTGTACCAACACGCCGCGCCGGTCGGTTTCGCAGCGTTCCCAGTGCCCTCCGATAACACCACGAGGAAGAGCAGCCGTTCTCCAACGAGGTCACTTCCGCGTCCCCCAATGAGGGAGAGTCCTCATTGTGGAAGAGTCACCGGGTCGTCAAATTGACGACGTCTTCTTCGACGTTCTTCTTCTTGCCGCGAGATACGAGGACACTACAGGACGAGGCTCGGGAAGTGCCCCCACCGGTGAAAGGTTGCCGCGAGAGTCTGCTTGTTTTTCTTCTTTCATCTTCCGGGAGCTCTATTCCGTCGGGACCAGACTTCTTCGTCCTGACAATTCCGGCGAAGTCGCTGCGCGAAGCTATCGTTCTTTGATCAAGGAACGCCGGTGATTCCCTGAAGAAGTTCTCGAGATCATCCAGAAAAGGCAATGCCAGTCTAGGAATCTGGCAAGTCGCGGATAAAAATCGGATAGCGATCCTTAAGCTTGCTTGAACAGAATCCCTCGTCCTTCCATGCCGCGATCGTCGTGGGTAACGTTGATTTTGTCGCTCGTTGGAAAGGATTTAACAGAAAATCGGATTATGGTGAACTGACCATTGAAATGCTAAAGAATTTTAAGAACTTTTATGTACACAACGTATAAAAAGGAGCGCTCGAGGGATCGTCGAATAATGCACCTCAGTAGCTCGCTTTTATCTAGGAGGTTCGATCATCGGATGACAGGTTCTTCAGTGGAACAACGAGCAACCATCTACGGGCGCATCCGAGCGGAACATAGTCGAGATATAAGTTTAACGTCGAGATTCGTTGAAGCAGCAATTAACGCGACGCATTAAGGGTCGCGATCTTGGACGATTGACGTATCCTTAGAGCGAGATCTCGCGACCAGTTGTGCCGAACGGCGAAAGAGTTCGACGGAAATTATACCGTCAAGATCGCAATCACGCGCTCACGCGACCACGCGAGCAGCTCGCCCAGGTGCGATCAGGTTTCGCTCTGAGAAGAAATCTCGCTCTTTCAGAGCGTTCTCCACAGCATCGCGCCGCGCTACACCGCGCCGTGTCGTGCCGGGGAAAAAGTCGTCCAACATAAGAAGTGGAGCTACCCTTTTTCCCCAAGGAGACAATTCCACTCGCCAGGGTCTAATTCGCTCAAAAATAATCTTTGATACTGGGATTTACGGTTGCGGGTCGGAAAACCATACTGGGGAACAGAAAGAAGAAGGAGTCGTCGAGTAGCGCTTGATTTACAATCCGATCCTCTTCACGCAATTCGAGAAACCAATTATGCGAGACGGTGGATGTTATGGGTCGCAAAATGAGACGTGAAACAGTGTGGAATCGTGTCGTGCGAGGAAGGAGAGGAATGTTTCCGTCCAGAGGGCTATTTACGATTCAAAGGACGAGGACCTGTCACGGCGATTCTCGATAAGAAGGCAAGATTGATTCGCATCGTGATCGGTATTATCGCGGAAGGACGAACGAGAGATACGGAATTATCTCCGACGAGCTGGGGCGCAATTATCTCTGAGACTTAACGACTGCGGCTTGCTTCGTTCCGGTGAGTAATTATTCAATTAAACGGCAACTCGCCATGGGTCAGTTTAGTATATAATGGGCAATTCGTCGTAATGAACGTCGCACGATTACTATTCTCTCAAGATAATAAACTTTCGAGAGTCTGAACATTAAAAGCGTATTAATTTAATTATAAAATAATTAAATTTAATTACTATTTAAATTTATATAAGACATAAAAGTTTATAAGAATTTTATATCGTAGATATAATTTTTTATATGCGCGCGCGGACATTTATATAAAGATTGTAATAAGCTTTAAAATTTTGTAGGAAAACTCGATTTAAGCAGATCTCGCTGAATTCACGCGATAAAAGAAAATATCATTTTTTTTCGAACGGACAGGAATTATTATCTCATTATTATTCTCATACTTCTTCACATTCATTTTTATTTTCATTCTTTTATTTTTCTTTCTATAATTATTAGTTCTATTTTTTATCACTGCATTAGACTGCACTAGAACTCTCTTTTTCGTTTTCGC